TCTTCCTCTTCTTCCTTCCCTTCCTCCTCCTCCTCCTCTTTAGCTTCTTCCTCTTTTGCTTCCTCCTCCTCCTCTTTTGCTTCTTCCTCCTCCTCCTCTTCCTCTTTGGCTTCCTCCTCTTCCTCCACTTTGGCTTCCTCCTCCTCCTCTTTGGCTTCTTCCTCCTCCTCTTCTGCTTCTTCCTCCTTCCCTTCCTCCTCCTCTTTTGCTTCCCCCTCCTCCTCCTTTACTTCTTCTTCCTCCTCCTCTTTGGCTTCTTCCTCCTCCTCTTTTGCTTCTTCCTCTCCTTCCTTCCCTTCCTCTTCCTCTTTCCCTTCTTCTTCTTCCTTTGCTTCTTCCTCTCCTTCCCCTTCCTTTGCGTCTTCCTCCACTTCCTCTTCCTTTGCTTCTTCCTCTTCTTCCTCCTTTGTTTCTTCCTCCTCCTTTGTTTCTTCCTCCTCCTTCACTCCCTCTTCTTCTGCTTCCTTCTCTTCCTCCTCATTTAGTTCCTCTTCCTCCTTAGTTTCCTCTGCTTCTTCCTCTTTTACTTCCTCATCCTCTTCTTTAGTTTCACCCTCCTTCTCCTCTTTTATTTCCTCTTCCTCTTCAGCCCTAGGCATTTCTTCTTCTTTCTCTTCCTCCTCCTCCTCCTCCTTTGCTTCCTCTTCTTCTTCTCCTTCTTTTGTTTCTTCTCCTCCTTCTTCTGCTTCTTCTTCTTTGGTTTCTTCAGTTTTGGCCTCATCCTCCACCTCAGTGTTTTGATTCTCTGTTACTTCAGGTTCTTCTCCATCTCCAGTCAATGTTGCACCATCATCTTTATTTAATTCTGGCTCTTTTCCTTCATCATCCTCTGCTTCTGTTTCACCTGTTTGAGGTTGCTCCTCCTCATTTTCTGCCTCTTCCTCCACAGAACCATTGGGAAGCATTTTGGTGTCCGGGGCTGCTTCTGCAACAATGGCTTCCTCATCATCATCTTTCTTCTGCCTCAGGATTTTCTGTAAATCAAAGGCTTTCATGACTGGGGCATTGGTGGCCACCACAGGGGCTCTGGCAGGCCTGGAAGCCAGTTTTTTCCTCACACAGGTGTCACACGGACAATATTCCTCCTCACTGGATTGTTTGCTAACGCTGTCCTCCAAAGCTGCACTAAGGCTAAAGTCATTATCTACATCGAGTGAGAAGTCTGTCGTCTCCTCCAGCCTCATCTGGTTGCCATTTTTGTCCCCAAAGAGGGACTTTTTATGCATAGTTTGCAGTCGCCATCTCCTCTGCTCAGTTTGGAGTTTGGACTCGCGTGTGGGTGGCTCCTCTGGAGGTCTCGGAATCCTCCTTCCAGCCCTGCTTTTGATCTTCCTCAACTCCTTCTCTATGCTCTTTTGTATCCTTTTACTCACTTCCTCCTTCAGCTCCAGTATCATTGCATCCATCTGCTGGTTGTCCTGCAGGTTCCACCTGACTTTCAACTCGTTCATGGCATTGACATAGTGAGCCATGAACTCCTTCTCGATTTTCTTGAGTAGTCTCAGGACCCAGGTTGGGTCTGGATCCACGGAGTGTTGCTGGACGAGGGATGTGCCCACACTGGTGGATATATTGACTTTGGGCTCAGGGTCATTTGGTGACTCTTCTTGGGGCTGCTCCTGCAACTCCTCTTTCAGCTCTGTTTCGACATCAGCATCCCCGACATTGGCATCACCAGTGGTCTCTGGATGATCAGCTTCTTCTTCAGGGTTTTCTTGTGGGACATCATCATTCACAGCTTCAGCTTCTTCCTGTTCTCCAGTTTCAGCTAATTTATTTTCTTCTTCATTTTCATTTTCTCCCGCTTCCTCCTGATCATGCTCACAGTTACTGCCCTGAGCCTCCTTATTCTCTTCTTCCTCCTGGATTACAGACTCCTCTCTAGCAGACTCCACTTTTTCCTCACCTTTTTCCTCTGAGCAGGCTGTGGAAGGGCGGGATGGCTTCTCTTCCTCTTTACTTTGCTCCTCAACCTCAGTCACTTCTGTGCCAGTCTCTGCATTTTCCGTTTGCTCGGCTGATTTGCATTCCATGGTTTTCTGTGCCACCAACGTGGCACCAGCTGTGCACTCTTCTCCTGAGCCACCAGAGCCACTGCAAACATCGACCCCAGAGGAGGACATGGGAGTGAAGGCGTGATCCATGGATTTTGGGACTTTAGACCCAGACACTGGCTTTGCCAGCTCGCTTGCCTCTTGGCCTGAACTTGGGCCGCTCTTTTCAGTGGTGCACCCAAACCACAGGGCTTGAAAAATATTTAGCAGCTCCGTGTACCTTGACTTATTCAAATGTTTTGACTTTCCTGATGGATCCTCTGACTCTTCATCAAGGAGTTGGAGGCTGGCAAGACAAGTAATCAAAATGTTGGCGGAGTTACTCAGTTTTCTCCCCATCGTGGGAGACACTTCGGGCAAACTGTTTGATCGGTCAAATTTGGTCTCGTGCTTTGAACTGAGCAAGGCCTTCATGATCTGGACAGACGTCTGGACAGAGGTTGGCAGGTCTCTCTTGTTATTTTGGCTGGATGTAACTGACTGGTTGCATTCGGCCTGCTCAGCTTCGGCAGCTTCAGGTGCAACCTCAGAGATTTCTTCCTGGTTCACGCATTCTTCAGCCTCTTCCATAATAGGTGTGTCTTCTGCTTTCTCTTCTTCCACTTCATCCTTTGCTTCATCCTTTGCTTCATCCTTTTCAGCCTCCTCCTCCTCCTCATTCTTTTCCTCAGCTTTTTCCTCCTCTGGGGCTTCCTCGACATTTGTACAGTGTGATACCTCAGTGATCGACTCTGCACGCTCCTCTTCTCCATCATCCTCCATTTCATATTTCATAAGCAATGTTTCCGAAGGGATTTTCCTGAGCCATTCTTGCACAACTTCTTCTGGAGATGTATTTGGTAGAGCTGATGGCATTAAATCACCTCCTTCCTCCTGAAAGCCTGTGCCTTGTACCTCTTCCCCCGTTTTTTTGTTGCAAGAGTCAGTCTCTTTATTATTCTGACCATTTTCTTTGGTTGCAGCAGATTTAGAGCCATAGGAAGTTGCTTTGGAGGAATCCACAATTTCTTTCTGCTCTTTTCCTGCGGTCAGCACGGATTCGGTGCCGATGCTGCTGATGGAGGAATTCTTCAATATGGTTGAACGGATGTTTTTTCTCTTTGGCTTCCCTTTTGGAGGGGCAGGGCACTGCAGACTGCACACTGACATAGTCTCCGACACAGACGCCCGGCTGGAGTTTGACACCTTCACACGAAGATTTTTTGGGTTTGTCCGCCTTGATTTTGAAGATAGAGACATGTTTGATTGTGAGCACCTATCATCAGTTTCCTGGGATATCTGTGTCAACACGCATTTATCTTTTATTTCTGACTTTGAAGAGACTCTTGAGGAGCTACTTGTAGGTTTTCCATTCCTAATCTCTTCCTCAGTTGGATGGTCAACTTTTGAACATACACTCTCACTCACACTTCCCTGTTTTGAAGAAGAAGGTTCTGAACTAATCTTGGCGTGATCCTTTCCAGATTTTCCATTAGGACTTGAAGAACTTGAGCAGAGGGATGATGGTTTGCTGCTTCCTTCTTTATGGTTTCTCCTCTTTGAGCTTTTTGAGGATTCACTGCAGCCATTGGCAGTACTTTTTGAGCTATTTGCCCCAGCAGGACCTGCAGTTGCCTCTGCTTCACTGGTAGATGAAAGGTTTGAGTGAAGAGATCCTGAGTTGTGAGACATGGCTTCTCCTACAGATTTTTTCTTGGTTTCACATGAGCTTTTGGAGTAAATTGATGCCCTGCTGCCTGATCTCCCATCATCTGCATGTAGGGAATTCTTTTTATTCTGAGTGGATCCAAGTGAAGACACAGATATTTCAGACTGTGCATCCAAATGAACGTGGCTACGCTTGCTCTTTTTGGTCCCTCTAGAAGAGCAAGAGACACTGCAGGGAACGTTCTCATCACTGTCACTTTTCTTGCTGTTCATGTCACTAGCCTTGGAACGGTGTGTTCCTTGCGTAGAGCATCGTTCCCCTTCACTGCTCTCGCCCCTGACTGATTGGCTTGGCTTTGTTTTTGCTGACACTGAGCTGACTTCGTTGACTTCACTTTCTTCCTGCTCAGCTTCCACCTCTTTGGCCTCTTGCTTGGGGCAGGACTCACTGGAGAAAGAGGACACCACTGGGTTGTCATCAGAGAGGTCACCCTGCTCAGTCTTTTCTTTTGGAGTGGTGCAGTTACTGGACTTGCTGTGCACGCTGTTGGCAGGGGTGGAGCACTGGCTGTTGTCTCCCTGATTTGCCTTCTGAAGGCTCGAGGAGGACACGCTCCTGCCCACGCTGCTGGTTTCCTCACACACGATCTTCTTGCTCTGCCTGGACTGCAGGGATGACCTGGACATGACACTCCCGACTCTGCTGCTTTCAACCTCTTCTGGGTCATCCTTCAAGCACTTCACAGAGGAAGCTTCAAAACAATTTGCATCCTCATTTTCTGAAATGATTTTGGTGATCTCCTGATCTTCAGGGCTGTCTTGAGTATCCAGGTTGTTCTCACAGCTTGAATGTGACATCAAGCCCAAGGATGAAGGCCTCTGGCTGTTTCCTGTGCTTGTCCGAGTGTGTTCCTGCAGTTCTTCTCCATTGGAAGCACCGGTAGATAAATCACTTCGGCACATACACTTTTTAACGGATCGATACGCCACCCTGTTCTTTATAGTCTCTGAGTAGGATGAGGACTCTCGCACAATGTGCTCAGAGAATTCCTCACTGGATGTGGTGTGGATGCTGTCCACAGATGTCATTTTTTTGTGGACTATTCTCCTCCGGGAAGACGTGCTGGAACACGACGACCGCGTGTGCCAGGTGCTTTGCACGCTGGGCTCTTCCCTCTGGGACGTGTGCATGGGGTTCTTCCAAATGTCATAGTCCTGGTGTTTCTTCCCACAGCTGTGACAGTGGGCATCGTCACATTCTGATTCCTCAAGTTTGGACATGTAGGAATCAATATCACAGGGATATAAGGAATCATCTGCCTCTGAGCTGGCTTCTGGGTTCATTTTCTGTAGGGGATCCACTTCACTGTCCTCCACTCCTGACTCTTCACAAGGCAGCTGGTTCATCAGGTTGGACTTTTTGATCTGGGTGGACCACTGCAAAGTCTCATCGTTGAGCAAACGGAAGCGAACCTTCATCTCCACGGACAAGCTCCCGTCCTTGTTCACATGGACCCGCTTCTCAATGTCATCGTTGACCAAGGACTGCACCAGGTCCCCAGCTTTTGGGTGAGAGCAGCCATTGGAGAAGGGTGCCCCGTTGTCTGGAGAGGCCACGAGGCCGTTGGGGTATGACTTTTCTGATGACAAGGAAAATCTCATCGACCTGTTGCTGGATGCTGACCGTGGATGGATAACGCTTTTTTTGGCTTTCAGTCCAAAGTTCACTGGAGTGAAGAAAAGAAAGATGTTAACTCAAATAAAGATGACAGAAAATATATAAGTCAAACCCTCAAACTAGTGAATCCTGATGTTATTCCATTAAAGCCGAACCTATGCCAATTTGCATAATTTGGAAATTTGTCTTTGACTAAGTGATGTCCATTAATCATAGAATAGTTAAGGTTGGAAGGGACCTCTGGGGATAATCTGGTCTAACTTCCTTGTAAAATGCTAAGTTTTGAATTTATAATCAATTCAGTAATGAATAAAATCTACTACACCTTTACTTTAAAAAAATAAATTTAAACACACTTTGTTTTATTAAGTGCATGTCAGGAAGTAAAATTAAGAAAAAAAAAATACACATATAGAGCGATTTAGTCTCTGAGTTTGGACATTTTATCACACAGCAAATATTCCTTTGTTTTACTGTGCAAGTTTTCATTCTTCTTATTTAACCAGGGAAAAGTACATGGAGAAGTGACCCTCTTCCTTAGCTGGTCACACATTTATTGTGCATCATCCACTTCTCCACTCATATTCCAGGAAATGTCTGGCCATGTAGACCAGAGCAACACTCAGTTCCTGCAGGGATATGCCACTAAGAATAATTACAATTCTTATTAAAACTTAAAGAACAAATGGAAAAGGAATTGTAAGCTGGTGATAATTACAAACAGAAATAGTGGGAGTTGTAGAAAAAATCAGTGAGAATAGGGGAATTTAGGAATTGCAACTGGAAGAACAACTTTATGGCCCATGCAATGATTTTCATAGGTTTTTTTAGGTCACTTAATTTCAAGCAGAATATGTTGCTATCAGGCTGTCTTGCAAGATATTAATCTGTCTTGTTCTGGATATATGTTTGTCCAAAATCTCCTTGTCCATATATCCAGACAATCCTGTGCCTCCATGGCCATATGGACATGCAGCTGATTGGAGGGCAATTTAGGAAGGAAGTGCTGAACTTCAAAATCACACAGGAGGAGCACAAAAAATCACATGAAATCACATGAAATAACTCTTCCCTAACCATCCTAATGATTGAACTGATGGATTTGCTCAGTCTCTAGATGGGCAAAGTTCCAGTTTATTCCCATGTTTCCCTCCAATTTTTATGTCTTGGAAAGTGAGTAGGATGCCTCTGTCCTTGAGTTTCTACAGCTTGTTGGCAACACACAAATGAATCTTTCCCAGCTCCTAGTTCTGACAATGGAGAGAAACAGATACACCTCTGGGGCACATTTAATTTCATCCTACAATAAATCCTTAATACAGCTGAGATTAATTGCCCTTTGGAATTGGGAAGTTTCTTTTCTCAGGCTACTGAGGGTGGCTGGTTTAATTACCTGTGACCTTAGATAACTCATGATGGGGTGCCAAAGAAATATAATCCTGAATAATCCTGAACATAATCTTTCCATAAAAACGTACTTAGTTCCCAAAAGGCCAGCTGTAACCTGCAGGAGAAGCTGAGTCTCCTGCTGGCAGAACCAGGGCATCCTCTGGTCCTGGTGCAGGAAAATGCAGGAGGGAAGGCATGATAGGACAGACAACGAGGGAATAGAGGATTTGTGGGAAATCTCAAGAGTCTGGAGGGACAGACACAGGAAAGGAAGGAGTTCTGGAAGGAAAAGGAGACCCAGAGATATGAAAGAGGAAGGGAAGTCAGCCAGACATGGGGAGCACGTAAAAGAAAGGTTAAGGGGTGTAGGGAGGAAATCCTAGAAGGAAACCAGAGAAAAAGAAGGGGAGGATGGAAAGGCCTGGGAGGCAGGGAGAGGGAAGTGCATTTTCCACACGAAACCTGTACTTTGGAGCAGCACAATAGGAGCCTGCAATCCCCACGCCGTGGGATGCAGACCTGGGTCCGACCGCGCCACGCGGCCCCGCGGTTTTCTTACTGTCATTGTTCTCGTTGACGTTGTTGCCGTTGTTGGAGCGGGGAGGCAGGTTGGGCAGCTTCTCCACCGAGTGTTTCCTCAGATTCTCCGTGGATATGGGTTTGAAGGGCTCCCTGCCCACGCACACCAGCACGTTGGGGCAGTGGAGCAGGGCCTGCATGCTGTCGATCTGCAAAGGGAACAGCGAGCGCAGCGCCATGAGCCCCGACGGAAGAATTTGGTTCTTCCACGTGGGGAAGGATGAGGATTTGACAGAAAGGTCTCACGGATATGTATGTGCAACAGAAAGATTTTTGAATGTGGAATCTGAAGGAAGAGTAAAAATGACAGCAAGTTTTGGTACAGAAAAAAAGAATTGCTGAGCCAGTTTTACTGGATAACTAAAAAGGCAAAGAGTAAGTGAGTTGAAAGGAGGTTTCTATGACTTAAAGTAAAGGATAAATCTACTTTAAACAAAAGATGTTTTTACCAAGCAAAAAGATTTTTACAGGTACAGAAAAATGCCATGTTGCAAGTAAAAAAAGAAATTTCAAAATTTTTTTACTCCGAAAAAACTGAAAATCAACTTCTAGCTTGAACTATAACATACTAACCTTTTGTGATTGGAAAATAGTAATATGACTATAGTAATGTTAGTAGTTATGATAGGCTATAGGTAATAGTAAAAGTATTAATTAGTTGTCATGTTTTAAGATGCTTTGCAATGAAAAGTATATAATGGTTATAATCAAAACTAGAGTTGGCCTCACACAAACCTACAGCTGTGGCTGAAAAGGCTCTGGGCTAAACTCTTGTTACCCACAACCCATAAATTGCTGTATCATCTGGATCCAATAAACAGCATTTTAAAGAGCAAGCTGAAGTCCTGCATCCCTCGTTTCAGCTCTTACACTTCCAGGCCTGGAATCAACTGACAATGCCTTGTCACTTTAATAACAGAGTATTTGGATAATGGTCTCAGGCATGCAATGATGTTTTTGGGGGTTTCCTGTGCAAGGCCAGGAGTTGATGGTCCTTGTAGGTCCTTCTCAGCTCAAGATATTTTGTGATTCAATGAAAATAAACATGGTTCTGGAGAACTCTGTGGTCTACCAGAGCCTGTTGGAGAATTCCTCCATTGAAAGAGCAGCTCTGCTATGTTTTGATCAGATTTCCTAAGAGAGGGATGGGCTGGGAGAGATTGCCATAGGGAGAATATATCTCATTTTTTATGTATTATAAAAGATTTCACATATTCTGGGGAAAATTTGGGCGTATTCCATGTGGTAGTAAGGAAGAGGGTGGAACTGGAGATGTTTCAGTTTGCCTTACAGAGCATTATAACCTTTAAATTCTTCTAATTCCTGTATGGGGCAGCTTTTATTACCTGAAAAATGCTACATTTCATTTTTTCCCTTAGTTGATCCTTTTCTTGCTCAGGAAGAGAGACAAGAATTTTGATTTCCCCTAATATTCCCTCAAATACTGCTTCAGTTATAACCCAAGTACTGCCTCAGTGCTGGACAATGAGGGACATTGTCCCCAGCATGGGAAGTGCTGTGGGGGAATATTTGTTCCTCCACGAGAACTCAGGTTTGCACCCTTCATCAAGGTGCAACTCTTCATTCAGGGTGCAGCCTTCATCTCAGGTTTGCACCCTTCATCAAGGTGCAACTCTTCATTTAGGGTGCAGCCTTCATCTCAGGTTTGCACCCTTCATCCTCACCACGTGAGCTGTTCCTGGATCACACCCCAAGCCCTTCACGAGTCACTTCTCATGGAACTTTATCATCATAGAACAGTTTGGGTTGGAAGGGACTTTTAAAATGCCATCCAGTCCAACCCCTACAATGAGCAGGGACATCTTCAGCTGAATCAGGTTCCTCAGATCCTCATCCAGCTTTTACCCAAATCCATTTGTCTGTCTCAAAGAGCAGGAATCAGTCCTTTGGGAAGCACTCTGCAGACAGATCCTGGACCCATCTTCCATCCTGTTTCTGCAGCCTCTCATTTGAAAAACTGAGGCTGAGCTCTCAGGTGACATACTTGATGTCTTCCAAAAGAAGAAGTCTGTCTTGCTGTCTGGACTTTAGAGTGGCCAATTTCTGGCAGCTCTGTGCATCTCCACAAAGTGGGATGTCCCTTCCTCCTCAGCCTGCTACATCAGAACATCTCCAGGGCATGGGGAACACCTCAACCAGAGGTGACCACACCAGGGGCTACCAGCCCATGGGCTGGTGGCTCAGCGAGGTGCACCCTGACCTCACCCTGTCACTTGTCATCATCCCCTTAACGAGAACCAAGAGAAGGAATCCCAGAGCAGCAGCAGTGACAGTCCTGCATGAAGGAAAGACCTCAGCCTCCAAATATTGTTACAGCCAAGGAATGAAGAGCCAGGGCCCCTTCAGAGCCCAAGCCCTCAGTTTGTGAAATGCTCCTGGCGTTTTTTCCAAGATGTCCCACCAGGACTGTGGGAGGCATTAAGGGATTGGTGCTGGATCTGGTGGAAATAAGAGGATAAATATGTGGAGGGTGAAAGAGCAAGACAGAGATAAATGGAAGCACTTTCTAGATCCAGTTAATCACTTCTGAAAACATTTCTTAAAATAAAACATATGGCATCAGCTTTTTAGTGGGAATACAGTAAAAATCCCTTTGTCTTCCCGTTATTTTTAATTTTCTGTTTGTATTATAACAGCACTTGTGTTTAAGGCCCATCCACTTTGCTATGAAACCCAAAATAAGGGAGTTTTTCTCACTGAAACTTTCATTAAATTCTGCAAGGCAGCGAAACTGCCAAATTCATGTGATGGGTACCATGAAACAGAAAAATAGCTCACAAATCTCAGTTTGCCTCTGTTCACTCCACCTCTGGTCCATCTATTCCTAAAGAAAACATCTTTATATTGTCCTAATGAAAGTATCTTTATAGCTCACTTTAGAAGTTTTTAGAAATCCTAGAATTTAATAAATCAAATATTTTGAGTATGTTTTTGCTGTCTGTATATTTAATTTCCTTCTTTACTTTTCTGTTCTTTTTTTTTTCCTTGTTCTTTTTTCTTTTTATTTTTATTGCTTTGGTGAGATCTTTTCCCCTGATTTTATACAAGTAGAGAAAAAAATGTGAGGATAAAAAAGAAGAAAGAGGAAAGGAAAAAGAGAGAGAAAAAGAAAAGAAAAATTGACACAGAAGGTGTTCTGTCCCTAAATTAAAAGGATCTGTCTTTCAAGCCTCACTAAGTTTAGGAACTGTTCCTATTTGTAAAGGACATTTTTTTTCAGTGAAAGCTATTTTTTGCCCACATTTTCTCATGTGGTTCCATGTCTGGGTGTAGATATTTCAATCACACTCATCACTGCTGCACTGTGTGAGCAGAAAATAGATGGTGCCAATGACAGAGAGTCAGGGATCCATGGAGCTGAGCCAGCTGAGTTAGGGAATTTATACATTATTTTATATGGAATACCCTGGTGTTATGTCACTTAAAAGAGTCTGTTTTTGTAGTATGGGGCATTTCTGACATCAGCAGCACTTTAGCTGTGTTTGTGTCTAAAATGTAAATTTTTTTCCTAATGTCTTGCAAGATTAATCTCTTTGAATTAATAATTCCAGAGATTCATCTTTGTAATGCTTCATTGTTAAAAGCATTTTGGTAGTTTTATATACAACTGAATGTTGTCTGAGGGTTAAATAAATCCCATTTCTCACATTGATTTAATGCAGCATCCAGTGTTTCAGGGCAGTGCAGGGTTGGGATAACAGCTCATTCCATCTGCTCCATACAGAGCCTTCCCACACTGCTGCAGGAATCCCATCCTCCCAACACCTGCCTGGCCTTTCCAGAGAACATCTGCTTCCAGGGCCATCAATATGACATCTTTTACCAGTGCTGGATTATCCCTGAGCAGCACATCCCCTCTTGTGTGTTTAGCAGCTCTCAACTCACTCTGTGCGTCCTGGGTGAGGCCCATGCAGTCCTCTTGGATTTCCTTCATTCTAAGGAATATTAAAAATCTATTTATAATCTAAAGGGATCAGATTCTGACCCTGCAGGCATTCCAGTGTCCACTGATGCTCCTGGAAGTGCTGAGTGTAATACTGGCCCCATTTCAAGCAGTGGTAGAGTCTCCCCTGGCTTCTCTGGAGGCTGCATCACATTGCCTGCAGCTGGGAAATGAGGAAAACTGGGAGCTTGCTTTCCATCAGCAGCATCATGGAATGGTTTGGGCTGTAAAGGACTTTAGAGTCCATGGGCAGGGGCACCTTCCACTATCCCAGGTTGATCCAAGCCCCATCCAACCTGGCCTTGGACACTTCCAGGGATCCAGGGGCAGCCACAGCTTCTCTGGGCACCCTGTGCCAGGGTCTCCCCATCTTCACAGGGAACAATTCCTTCCCAATATCCCATCCATCCCTGCCCTCTGGCAGTTTGAAGCCATTCCCTGTGTCCTGTCCCTCCATCCCTTGTCCCCAGTCCCTCTCCAGCTCTCCTGGAGCCCCTTTAGGCTCTGGAAGGGGCTCTGAGCTCTCCCTGGATCCTTCTCTTCTCCAGGTGAACATCCCCAGCTCTCCCAGAGCAGAGGGGCTCCAGCCTCCTTTTTGCTGTTGTGCAAGAGAAGTGATCCTGTCCTTCTTCTTGGACACTACAATCACCAAAGAGTTTTTATGACTTGAGTAACTGCATTTTCCATGCAATTTCTGTCACAGGTTTTCATGGATATCAGACAGAAACTTGGAGAGAGAGAAGATTACATGATGTGGCAGTAGGACCATGCAACAAAAAAAAAAGCAGACACAGTAGTTATTCCTGTTTCAGAACCCTGTGAACCCCAGAGAAAGAGATGAAATATTAGATAAGATTAAATTCAGAGAATAATCTGATGTTGAATTGCTGTTCAGATTAGGTAAGAGGTATAAATGAGAACAGTGTGAATTCCAACATATGGAGGAAAAGGAAGGTTTGATGAGATGATCTCCAAAAGTCTTTTCCAAACTCAGTGATAATGTCATTCTGTGTTTTATTGTAAAAGTGGATGTTATTTTCATGGAGACATTAGTTAAGGAAAAGTGGGGTGGAACTGAAAGACAAGAAGGTGAATGTTCTTATCTGCTTTAGCTGTCACAGTGGAGAAAATGGAATGCCACTGAAGGGGGATGTGTTTCATCTGAAGGTTGGTCTTCATGATTGT